TTATTTATTTATTTATTTATTTATTTATTTATTTATTTATTTATTTATTTAATTTATTTATTTATTTATTTATTTATTTATTTATTTATTTATTTATTTATTTATTTATTTATTTATTTATTTATTTATTTATTTATTTATTTATTTATTTATTTATATTTATTTATTTATTTATTTATTTATTTATTTATTTATTTATTTATTTATTTATTTATTTATTTATTTATTTATTTATTTATTTATTTATTTATTTATTTATTTATTTATTTATTTATTTAAATATAAGGACATAGAAATTTCGATATCATTGATTACATAATTCCGAAATATACAACAAAAAATCCACACTTAGTATCGGTGCAACACTGGTATTTGATATTTTGGTAGAATAATGTTTTTCCGCGAAACCACGCATTTTTAAAGATCTAAAAAATGTAATTAGAGGTCTTGCTATTTAATGATTTTTTATTTATTTTATAGCTAGCGGTGTACTAAATTATTGGTATGAAAATTGTATTTGTAATCTCGTGCTAAATGTGTTTTTTGGACTCGTAATTCTTATAGTCGTTTGACGACAAAACACCTGACTTTAAAAAGACCAAAAAAATATATTTTAAATCATTGTTCGGCCATAATTTTTTGTTTATTCAATTAACAAAAACTTAATGAATATTTGGTATAAATATTATATTTATAATCGCATTGTAAATGTGTTTGTTTCTTCCCCGTCTTTGTGTAAGATTCTCTTATTTTAATTAATAATTCAAATTGAATTAATCCATAACGTACCAAGCCAAAAAAAATGGGGTTAATTATATCGAAATTCAGAAGACATTGCGAATGCTTTTGTTCAACATTTTCAGTCTGTGTATGAAAAACCTATGAACGTAAATATTGGCATTCCTAATTTTAATTGTACCTCCTTCGAATTCTCTATAATAACAAAAAAATTATGTAATACATAGTATAAAGAAACTAAAACCAAAAAACCCACTGGCTCTGATAACATCCCAGCTTACATATATAAAGGTACATCAGAATATATTGCATCGGCATTAAAATATCAATCTTGCAATTAAAAATAAAAATTTTCCCGATGTCCTAAAAACAGCACTAATAGCACCTATTTTTAAGAGTGGCAATAAAAATTACAGACCCATTAGCTTAATTATTTTTTAGCTAAATGTATAAAATAATATTATGTGACGAGCTGTCAAACTTTTTAAAGCCTAAGATTTCAAAATTTCAACATGGATTTATAAAAATAAATCCGTCATAAAAAAATCTTTCAATAATATCAGAAGCTGCAGCTGAAGCAATATTAAATGAAAATCAATTAGACCGTAATTTACACGGATTGTGAGAAAGCATTCTAAAGGTTAATCACAAATTGTTACTCAGTAAACTCGTGGAGCTGGGCATCACCGAAGATGCTTATTATTTTATCAAATGCATACTTTTGAAATATAGTCTAATGGATTAAAGTAGGCATGTGTGAATCATAACCCGTCATTATAACTTCAGGTGTCCCACAGGGCAGCAACTTAGGGCATTTACTTTTTTTTATGCTTTATCAACATATCTCTAACTCCACAGAAATACTTTTTGCAGATGATTTCAAACTTTGCAGAGTTGACAAGACACAAACCGATTGTGATTTGCTTCAGCTAGGCATCAACAATGTAAGTAAATGGTTTGCAATATATAGAATGATACTTAGAGCCGATCTTTTCACCTCTGAGTAGAGTTAAATACAGGTTTTCTTGACAGATTAACAAATAATAGCCCTATAGTTCCATCAGCAAGTAGTTACTTTCAACTTTACTCAGAAGTGAAAAGACTGACCCGTAATATAAAAAATGTACAGTTGTAGCATTTATAAGAAAACACAATCCAATCCTAAATAATTACAAGACCTGTGATGCCACACTAAATGTTAATATGAGGTAAATGATTAGGAAAGTTGTCTTTCAGTCTAATTTGATTTTTTTTAACCAGAAATACAAAAACTTTTAGGATTTCCACCAAAATCAGATTACATAATGCCTAAGTAAGGGCCCTTCTAAGTTATACTTCACAAATTTGAATATCCCTGAAAAAGAACAAAAAAGATTTGTACAATACTTATGTCATAAACAACTCATACCCTTATAAGATCTCATATAAAACTATGCTCCATAGCTTTAAGGTTAAATCTCTTTTACAAAGAAGAAAGCAACATGCTATGGTATATTTGTACTATATTTTAAAATAATGTTAAGTACAAAGATTGTGATTTGATTAAATATATAAATTTTAATGTGCCAAAGATTAATCTAAAAATCCCAAGCAACAAAAAATTATTTAGTGTAGATCCAAGTAGTATATCTCCTTTTAACAAGATGATGGCTGTTACCAATGAGTTTCTTAGGGAGTTCCAAACAGAAATCTTTAATGTTAGCCTAAGAAAATTGAGGACTGTATTAAATTAAGTTCATTAGATATTAAGGTTTGTTTTGTATTTGAATTTCTTGTAACTTAACTCTACATGTAACTACTATTAATTTTTTATAGTGTTTGTAAAGAATCCAATAAATAAATAAAGGGGCATAATCAGTCAAGTTTTATAGTGAAATATTCATAATAAAAATGTATGGCCGATATATCAGTATCGACCGATATCGGCCACAAAAAATCATATCGATCGATCTCTAAATATTTTAATCAATACTTAGCTCTATATTGAAATTTAAAAGTATTTAACTCCCTTGTAAATCAATATTTTTATTTTCCCTGTATAGATGGATTTCTAAGTAATGCAGAACTTTCTATTTTTTTTTATTGTGTGAAGCGTAAGATAAAATTTTTACACTTGTATAAAACCTTTGGGGACGCCTTGGATAATTTATACCTTTTTTTTAAGTCGTGGTTAAAAAATCTAATGGGTGGCCAAAAAATTTTCAATCTCCAATATAAACTATTTTTTTTTATATTTGTTTGTGAGGGAGGTCAAAAATAAAGTTACTGGCTGGTGTTAAATATGGTCAATAGGCGGTTAAACGCATTTCGCTTTTATAACTAAGGGCCAACTTCACATAGCTTAAGATCAATACAAAAGTATAAAATATTTTATTATGTAAAAAATGTATTCAATCATATTTTAATTTATGATGGTACGAATACATATTCTTAATATTCATAATCAAATGGATAAACACTACATTCATAATTATCTTTTGAACAATAAAAATTATTGTGCTTAAATCTATGTATTTTATAAGTAGGAACCATAACTGAAAAGCTGAGTATAACTTAGCAATAAAATTTTGATTGACATGTGTAGCAGATTGCCAACTGTTAAATAATAATCGATAATATTTTCTATATAATCTTGAAATTATCAGTAATATAATGAAATTGAAACTCCTATCCTATGATGTTTGAAAAAAACAAACTACTAAAACTGCACTAATATTATCATAGCAATCAAACAGGACAGTATTTTTAGTATTTTTTAATTCTACGATAAACTTTAAACCTAGTATTCGTCAATGTATTGTTTGGTCTGCTACTTTTCCTGGCTACAATGAATTCTACGACCTGCTGTCTCGTTAAGTTATATGGTGGCTTTCTGAGTGGAGCTTCGCGGTGAAGCAGGGAAGGGAGAATAATTGTTCAGTGACGTCTAATTATGTTTTTAAGATCTGCTACATTAATATTTTATTTTTAAGAGTAACAGAACTAGTTTAGCTACTACGAGAGCTAATATCTCAAAAGAACAAAAACTAGCCTGTGCTTGCATCACCGGTGCAATGATAACCTGTCCTATGGCCGCAATGGAGGTGATCTTAAACCTTGCCCCTCTACATTTAATGACAGAGAATATGGCAAAAAGGACATGATATAGAATGATCAGCAACGGAATAATCAGACGAAAGTCAGGACCGAAGATACTTGGGATATGCCCTAACAGAGACATAATTATTAGAACTATTTAACGAAAATTATATTGTACACAGAAAATACAGAAATCTAAAAATTTCAAACAAATCCACAGAGGAGTTCTTATAGCAGTAAGTAAAAGACACGGTTCTTCAGAAATTAATATAGACGGAATAGACACCTCATTAGAAACTTTATTTGTAAAGGTTAAAAACTATCAATTTAATGCTTAATATGAGATTGAAAATACAATACAAACTTTTTTCTACAAGCGTGCGAGAAGATGATCATCTTCTTGCACTCTTTGGAGTGCGAGAAGTTTATCTTCTCGCACGCAGAGAAATATAAATTGAAAAAAAGCAAGGTATACTTACCGCCGAGGCCCGGGTTTGAACCGTGGACCTTCGGGTTATAAGCGCGACGCTCTAACGCGCTACATTGAATATACATTTAAGCGAATGTCAAACGTTAATAACAGCGACATGAATCTAGTAGGCAATGATACCGATAATTGTCTAAACTTTAGAAATAAATGCGCTTGTAGAAAAAAATGTTGATCGTAACACATGCTAGAAGCACTTTTAGCACTTGTTGCGATAACTACTATAATGGCCTCATATAATTTCAAATCTTATATCAATTCAAACGTAGATAATAGAACATTAGATTTAGTCCTGAGTAATTTTTCTGTAAAAATTGAGGAGAATACAACATCCTTATTTAACAAAGATACACGGCACCCTGCATTGGAGTAAGAGTTTAGATTAAAGAAAGTTTCTTACAATTTTGATACTAATAATTTAGAAAACATATAATTTTAAAAAAGCGAATTTTAAATTACGAACTATTAAGGGATTTTAATTGGACCCCTTGGGACAATTTGAGAACGTTAATGATTGTGTAGGATATTTTTATATTGGCCTAAGTGTATCCAATAGAGATTATATCAGATGAGAAGCATACATTGGCTTCAAAAGACAGTAAAAGCACAAAACGTATTTAAGTTGTGTTTCATGTGGAAGTTTAATCACAAAACTTATAAACAAGATGTTAAAATATACAATAAAAATATTAAATACCTTTATTTCTCCTTGTCCCTCCTCGCAACAGCTCTGTAGGTCCTTTAACAGCAACTGATACTTGGTTATCCTTTGTACGGGTTTAATGAGGTACGCGGCGATCGGATGTTCCACCTTGTGCTTCTTCTGCAACTCTTCGAAATATCCCCCACCATGTTGGACGATCAGACTATTACTTTCCGGTTTGTTTTTACAATAAGTTACATACATGTCGAATTTCTGCGCCCAAGTGACGAAACAATGTCCAACATCCTCGGGCATCGTTTCGTATTTTTCTAATTCCTTTAAAAATATCGAATTATGAAATTCGTATATCTCCTCCATGTTGCCGAAAATTATGCTGTCTTTGGATTGAAGCGGACTGGGGACTGAAGATGAGTTTTTCATTTCGTGGAGAAAACAATTTATGCAGGTTTCCAAGTCTTTGACATAAGTACGTTCTGTTTGTAAAAGTTCAGCCATTATAAATCTGAAAAACAGTAAATTATGTTCAATATACATATTCGAAAAAAATATATCTACAATTTTTACCTTTATTAATAATTTTTATAGGGGTATTAATTGGTTAAGACTGTTATTAGTTATCTAAATTTAATTTAATATATAATTTGTTGTGGAATAATTTATATTCTTTGTTTTTCGGGTGCATATGAAATATGCCTTATCTATCTACTTTAGGGGTTAATTATATACCAATCAAATTTGGTAGGGCTTATATTAAGTCTTTTGATCAGGGTTGATTAGAATATTATGGAGGGCAAAATATTTCTTTATCTATTAAAAATATAACATTAATTTAATTTTTATCATTAAATCATTTAAAAATTTATCATATAAGTATTATTAATTTGAATTACTTTTTTATTAATTCAAATTTAACTTAAATAGCTCATATAGAGTTTAATACTGAAGATATTAAGGAAGTTTAAAACAAAAGAGAACATACTATATGACCAAAAAAAGAGAGCTCGTTGTTCATCTATCAATACTCCTACTTCAACACGAAAGCAAAACAAAAATGATAAATGATAACCGAGAACGATAAATAAATAATTAAGGCACATATTGGGAAAGAGAAATAGATGGATTATCAAAGAGGAGCTGAAATGAAACCCATATTAATACGTGTTAATGTAACAAAAATAACTGTTAATGGGGTCTATTCTGTAACAATTCCTTTATATTTAACGGCCTTTAAAAATATTTTCTCCTTTACTTCTGTCATTATTTAAACGGATCTTTAAAATACATTAGAGGACTATCTTAAAGAAATCTGTTTAAATAATGATAGAAGTAAATTAACGAATACGAAACTATTTTTAAAGGCCGTTAAATATAAAGGAATTGTTACAGAATAGACCCCAATGCCTGTTATTGTTGAGTGATTTCTTGAACCTTCTTCTTTAATTACGTAAATGTCTCCTATATTCTTGGCTTTTAGGTATCAATGTGAAACTAAATGAGACATCCAAGTAATTAACATATTAATACGATGTAAACATAGAATATAGATCCAATCAAGAGTTGTAAAAAGAGTTACGGAAGAGAGAAGTTTTAAAAAGAGAAAAAGGAATGGTTTCGGAGTATATTTAAGATAGGCATTTTTTTTTAACTTACTCTTTTCGCCTAGCAGATCTTCTCTTCTCCTCGTTAAGTTCTTTCAGTTCTTTGGCGGCGGCTTCTTTGACTTTAGCCTCCAAATTTGGATCAGAATTTCTGTCGATTGAGAGTTCTTTCTTTTCGCTTTCCTCTTCTTGTATGCCCAAAGTTTCTTCCAATTGCTGTCTATAATTTTCCATTCGAGAACTAAAATCCTTATACCTATAACAAGAACGATAAGTTATAGTAATTACCAGATTCATATTAATGTTCTCAAAACTTTCTACAAATTATTGATTTCAGGATAATATTAAATTAGTGTAATCTTTAACTTTAGGTATGTGTATGTTGGACAGTAAACCCAGTATATCACTTAGATGAAACATTTTTTTTTTAAATATTTAAATGCACCGTTTTTTGATAAAAAAATTAAAATATAAAATTTAATTAAATGATAGGTAAATAAACTATGGGTCAACGACGCTACTTTTAGAATATCAATTTTTTTCAAGTTCAAATTTGATTACAGTGAATAATCAAATATTGAAATATTATTGACCTACTTAAGGTTTGTCAAATACTTTAAAATATAAATATGTTAACAATTAATTTTAGGAAGTCGTGATTTGATTGAATTAGATCTTGATAATTTTATATGGTGTTTGTTTTTGACTTATTTTGTAAAATAAGTAGAATATTGGGTTATTGGAATTTTAAAAAATATTGTAAGACGTAAAATAAAATAGAAATCAAACTCAAAGCCAATGTTACAAAAATACGATCGACCTGTTTCCCTCAGGAAAACAACTACTCCTTTAGTTAATACTACAACAAGTATTAAATTAAATCCAAAGGAACACAGCAAAGATGGAAAATAATTTTCTCCACCCTACCCTTGATTTTACTTACTAAGGAGAACGTCAAGCGGTTGAAATTGAATTTCTATCCTGCTATCTTTCCTTTGTGTATAATTCAATGCCTGTTGGGGTATTAACCAAAAAAGTAGTTGTTAATTGATGCTTGTATTTTGTGTGACATATGGTTTTGTGTTGTTTACAAAAATCGAATTACAAACATTCACAGTGTTATCCATGTAGTTGCCAAATTATTATGAGTAATAGGGACCGTGCGTCATGACTTTAACGCTAACTGGTGACAAAAATGTGAACTTTTTGGGGGGTAGGTATTTATTAATGTCTTATACGGCATTTATTGTTTAATAATTATTAATAAAATGAAGTCGAATTATTTTTGTAATATCAATATCGAAAAAACTTGTTGTATCCGTGGATGTACAAACACATCACTTTAGAAACCTGGATTTCATTCGATAGTAAAGAAATTTTATAAATTTCCACAGAGCACAATTATGCCTCACACCCAATGATATACCTAATTACAAAGATTGCTTATCCATATGTAAATCAGACGACGAAAAGCGTATTTCACTGGGCAAAGTTTTCTTTTTATATAGCTTGTATCAATTTTGAGCACTTAGTTGTAAAGAAATCATTTACAGAAAAAATAGAATCTTTAGTGTTTTCTTGTCATTAAGATTTTTACATATTTAAATGACCATTTTATATAAATATAATTTTACAGATAATGGTTTATTCTGTTGATTAAAACTAATGTAGAATGTTATGAAATAAGAATATCCAATTTGACAAAAATATCACGGCCCTCTTTACAATTTATTAACTATTTCTCATTTATTATTAAAATAAACAAATCATAAATAATACATTGCAATTACTGTCAAAAGAGATTGTAACAAACTTTAAAATATTAAAAATCCAGTGATTTTTTGTAATTTTTTTTAGTGACATTACCATTAAACATTATTCAGAATAATAGATAAGTGTCCAATTACAACTCTTACCAAAGTTGTTCATACCTCATATCAAAATTGTTTACATTACCTTTTCAAAATTTTATTACATATTGCAATTATGTATTTTATGTAGAATTGTTTCTGAAATAGTAGTCTAAAATTATTTATATCCATCTGTTATAAAAATATTATTTAACTACATGAAAACTCAACTTTCCAAATACATAATGACATGTCTTGAAGTAAAACTTTAATTATTATCTTTTTCTAAAGATTAAAATGCTGAAATTTTATTTTATCACATTTGGGCTAGAACGGCTCTATTTAGTGAGCACTAGGAAAGGCACATTGCAACCAGCTTTTCATAATTTTTTTTATAGTTGGGTGAGCAATCTATAATATATGTATCATTGAACATCTCATAAACGCCAGTGGATGAATGACATTTCGATTAACATAAAGCTAAAAAGATTTATAATTATTATTATCAATCTTTTTTATTAATTTACATTTTTTAAATGTTATTGTAATACTTTTAAATTCAGTGTTACTAAATACCTATATTTTAACATTGGATACACTTGTTTAAGGTACAACTTTACAATTTATTGTCACTTAGCCATTTAAATCTTTTTGCTTAAAATGTATATGCATGTCCAGATTTTAATAATGTTTCACATTTTACGTCATTTTGACCATGTACACGATTGTTTGGTACGGGCCGGTATCTATTTTTAACTATATTTAATATTTAAAAAAAATACCCTTCATTATTTACTTGCAATGTTTACCCCATTTAATTCTAAAATTAAACACTAGAGAGGGCTAAGTTCGGCAGTAGTGCTGCCTCTATATTTCACGCACGGTCCCTATAAAAAGTAACAAAGGCTAACACTTAAGTATTTTAAAGTTATAACTTCACTTGATGTGAATAAAAGGCAGCTATACCTGGCTCTCAAGTTACAACTAAAGTTTTTCCGGTTTTGTAGTTATAACTACATTTTTACTGTGAATAAAGCGCAAACATTACTAATTTATTGCAGTTGCAACTTGACAATTTGTAAGTCTAAACGAGACAACACTTAGATTTTTGTTATTCGTAAATATCCTTACCATGGCGATGTTTATGCAAGTACGAGAAAGAAAAGTTTATGGTGAAAGAAGATTAGTGACAAGATGTAAGGAACTGATGCGTTTTAAGAATAAAAGTATTAACTTTTTAACAACAGAATTCTTGCCAGACAGTAATGAAACTCGAGGAAAAGCTCTGACTCCAAGAAATCGCGTGGAAATATTTTTACGCTACGTTGCTGACCCTGGTTTTCAGAGTGGAGTATCAGAAGATTTTCGAGCGGAACGCTCATCAGTGAGTAAAACTATAAACTGTGTTATGGATCATATTCTGGAAAAAGCACATAATTGGATCCATTTCCCTAACACAGTTCAAGAGATAAACAATGCAAAATTTTTATGGCAGACACGATTTGATTTACCAAACGTTGTGGGAGCGTTAGATTGTACACAGATAAAAAAGCCTTTTGCTTTTGGTGATGAGTACATTAATCGAAAAGGTTACCCCAGTATTAATGTTCAAGCAACGTGTGATGCACAAGAAAGGGTTACAAGCATTTGCGCGGATTGGTCAGGATCAGTACATGATTCGATAATATGGCGGCGCAGTGAAATTCGTGACATCATTTCTCAGTATGACGGTAGAGCTCGTTTGCTTGGTGATTCCGGCTACGGTATAGCTCCATGGCTTATTACGCCTTTCAAGCCAGCTCAAACTGCTATTGAAACAAGATTCAATCGTAAACACGCTTCAGAAAGAGTCATAATAGAAAGAGTATTTGGTCAGCTAAAAAAAAGGTTCTCCATCTTAGGCAACTGTGTGCGAGTATCACTGGAGGGAGTACCTAAGCTTGTAGCAAGCTGTGCAGTGCTCCACAATGTCGCGAAACATCTCAAGGACCAATTTGACTTTGAGGAACTGGTAGATGAAGAAGATCACGATGGATTAGAAGAGGGAGTTGACGGTTATATACATGAGAACAATGCAACAAAGCGCCGTGGTGAACAGAAGCGAGATGAGATGCTAATTTGTATTTAAATTCTAAATTATTATACACTAAAACTCAAAAAAATGTAACAATTTATTATAATTAACTATAAATGTAAACACATAAGTATTTTCATGAGATATAGGGAAGAGCGGCTCCCAAGGCCTCTGGTTTGATCTACCGCCGCAACGCATCGAATATTTTATTCAACTAATTCAAGAACAATAACTGCATCTGTCTGTACTTCACTGTATTTGGTGTTCTTTTTTTCAAGTAACTCAAGTTCTTTTTGTTCTTTTTTCATTTGAATTTTCTGCAGCTGAAATTATTGTAAGAGAACGACTCTCTGCAACTGAGATGTTGACAGATCTCTTGTTTCTTCAGTTTCAAATGTAGTCATAATTTTAATGCCTGGTTTTACATAGCTAGGTTTATCTGCTTTTACATTACTATTTTCAGATATTTGAGATGAAGAACTTGAAGTATTGGCATCCCCACTAATGTTATGCTTGAAACCGTCATCTTTTTTTGATGATTTTCCTAACGTCACTGCTCCTGGAATTTTAGTGAAAACAGGATTCTTTTCTTCTGCACCCAATAATGCCAAAAATTGTTTCTCCCAATCTTTCAATTTTATTTTCGTGTTTCCTGTGGCTTTAGTATCAGTTTTCTTTTTAATTACAACTTTCATGTTTTGTAACATTTTATTTAATTGTGATGGGGTAACATCGATTTCGTTCACTTGAGAATATTCTTTACAAACTATTTCCCATGATTCCTTTTTATGTTGAACAAATTTTGGAATTCTAGATTTTTCCAGTAGCACTGGATGTTCGCTAATTAATTTCACAAACAAATCTCGGTCCACATTCTTCTTTTCAAACTCATCTTCACTCTCAGAAGACGACATGTTTGTCAGAATAAAAACAACAACCAACTAACTGAAAGAATATAAGACAAAACAAGTCTGACCACGTGCTGCGGGAGTAAACAACTCTGACAGCGCCGAAGGAGAGGATAAGTTTAACAAGTAACGTAAATTTCAGTTACTGCTACTCCTTAGTTATAACTAGAGTATAGTTGTAACTACTACCTAGTGTTAGCATCTATTTAATCACGTCGATTTTTGTTGACGCTATCACTGGATCCTAGATTCTACCACATAGATGCTACGTTTTATTCACATCACTGAGTATGGGAGAGTCTTATTACAAGGATCGTTTATTGTTATAATGCGGTATTGAATTAACATAAGACTCTAAAACGCACAAAAGGCTTTCAAAATTACAATAAGAAAGTATACTTGGTATCATAGTTGAAGGTGATTT